CCGTTTTCTCCCTCCCCTCTCTTCCCCTCGTTTCTTCTCCTCTTCTCCCTTCTCTCTGTTTCTCCTCCCCGTTCCTTCTTCTTTCTTTCTTATTCATCCTACATCAAAGTGGTATCAGGGCCGAATCTTGGGTACTTTCTTTTTACAATCCAAAATCTCTTCTTTTTCTCCAAAATCTTGTTGGAACAGCACAATTGAAAGAGGTTTAGCGTAAGAAACAGCAAATTTTTTTTTTCATTTTGTTCTCTGCCCTTGTTGGAAAAAAAAAGAGGTTACTGTTCGGGTTACTGTTCATGCCTAATTTCAGTTTTTTTCCCTTCAATTTTCTATCGTAGTTGCCACAAAAAAAAAAAAATTAATGTTCACGTTACTGTTCACAGCGCGGAAATTTCAGTTTAGGGTTTTTCTGCAATTTCATTTTCCCCCTCACTAAAAAAAAAAAAAAAAAAATCGTCACTCAAGCACCAGGCGAGTGATATGGGTGTTCCTTGAGCAATACGCGGGCAATGACACGGGTACTGTTCACACCCGAAATTTTTTATTTTTTATTTTTTATTTATCATTTTCTGCAGTTCCCAAAAAAAAAGTGAAAAAAAGAAAAAAAAAAAAGAAGAGAAGAAACGTCTTTTCTATTATTTACAGGTACATCTTTTATTCTGGTTGATCTGGCTTGACTACTTCGACGAACGAAATAGAAGTTCTTGCTTTTATTTATTGTTGGTTTATATTACTGTTTCATTTTGAAATTGCATCAATTAAATTTTTGTGCTGCTGCTGATCTATTTTTATCTAAACTCACGTAATTGGATCCATTGACCTCGTTAAATCTCACTTTAACTTGCTTATTTTATGTGATTAGGTTTTAACTAGTATTTGACCATTGCTTTATTATTTTACATATACCAGCAGTACTAGCTTGTTGTATATAATTTTAGTTCCAAAATTTAAATTTAAAAAATAATAATAATAACTCAAATTTTCATTTTCCATTACTTACACTTTTTGTTCGTTGATCTCTCTATTGCATGTCATTAAGTTGCTATTACAGTGCATGTAGTTACATATTGATCATCTTGTCACTTCTAGCTCTAGTACCTTAAACATGAACCCCTCACAATTCGATGCACTCACCCGACAAATAGCGACTATTCAAACTCAAATGACCGCTACTCTTGAAGAGAGTAAGGCCCTATCTATTAGTTTGAAAAATTTTAAACACATCCCTCGTTCGATTGATGTTGATAATTCTAAGGTGTCCCATAATAGACAACATCGTCAACAAGGCAATCAAAAATACATTCGACCCGATCGTAAGGATAGGGATAGGAATAGGGATCAAATTCGTGAGCGAGAATGAGATAATTTTGAAATTCTTACTCAATGGAATGCCCTTAAACAAGGAAATCAATTAGTGACTGAGTATATCGCGCAATTTGAGGAATTTCGAACCAAATGTCATTTAATTGAGGATGAGAGCATGAGTTTGAGTAGGTTTAGCCAAGGTCTGAGAGATGATCTTAAGCGAGAGCTTTTCCTTCGAGGTGTCACTACTCTTGATCACGCTTATTCTTTAGCTCGAGATTATGAGTTGATTATTAGTACTCCATATGAAAAGCGTGTTCATCGTCGTTCACCCATTTCATTAGCGTCGCCTCATCATAAGTCTATCATAAAACCGTCTCCGTCTAATGTTCCTCCTATTTGGAAAAATAATTGTAAAGGTCGTGATAGTCCAAGATCTTCTTCTCCATGTAGAAAGCATATTGACAATCATCCTTCGGTGTCATTGGCTCCACTTCCTCCCGTTAAGTCCCTTCTAGGACCTCCCCCGCCTGATATTCCTCCAATTTTGAAAAATAAGGGTAAAATTTTTTATAATCATCATTTGGTTTCATTGGTTCCACCTTCTCCCGTTAAGTCCCTTCTAAGACCTCCCCCTTCTAATGGTTCTTCAATCTTGGAAAATCAGGGTAGAATTTCTGAAACTCCAAGGTCTTCTTCTCACTCGTTGTGCATCAACTGTAAAGACTTTGGTCACATTTCTTCTAAATATCCTCATCGAACCCTAGTCATGGAAGAACGAAAGAATGTAATAGAGGAGCCGTTAGAAGATCTAGTCTATGAACCTAAACTTGAAGATTTTGATGATTTGGATGATAGTGAGGACACTTCCTTATGTGGAATCCAGACTCTTCCCGAGACTTTGGATACTATACCCCTTATCTCCGACAATTCTCGATCACATGTTATATGTAATACCTTTACCCAAGTTAAAGAGCTTGACGATGTCACCAGTCACCCTTGGAAAATCCAGTCGCCTGTGGTTAACACTAAGGCAAAATTATCCACCACTGACCAACCTCAAATTGATGGTTAAAACAAAAGTGCTAACCAAAATCCTGACAATTTATTACAGTCTCTAATCCAGAAAAATCTAGGGAATTGGGACTTGATCCCTCCAACTGTTCAAATTGCATATAACGATCCTATGAACTGGTCTTTAGATCTAAAACCCTTTGAAGTTATTCTTGGTTGTGAACCTTTGAAATCTCTAAACCTTATTCTCATGCACCCACATGCTTGTGTGTCTACGTTAGTTGAGATAGTTGTATCACATTTTCATAGCTTGCATATTGAGATCAACAAACAATTTGAAGCAAGTAAAGCATTATATAAACCTCAAGTTGATTGGCATAAACAATACTTTGAATTTAATATTGGGGATTATGTTATATTGCAAGCGTGTAATGCTGGTCTTTTTAAAATTTCAAAGCATGTTGGTCAAAATGCCTATGTCAATGATCTTTTATCACATTATGACCATCACCCTATTTTATTTGTTAAAGACTTCGATACTTACAATGGCTATTTTAACACTTTTGTTGATCCTTTTCTATCTCTACTTGAGAACTCCCACATCGAATCTTTTGCTATGTCTATTCGAATCCACATGTCGTAGCACACAAAGACAAAATTGATGTAATTTTAGATGAACTGGTTGTGTTAACCATTGATGGAGAGAATCGGTGCTTCTTTAATTGTTGGGTAGATCAACGTTCTTATTGTACTCCACATTATACGCAATCATGTGAAGATTTTGGAGATGAGTTGTAGGAGTACTTGTTATTTGGAGTCCAATGTCGGTACTTGATTAAAATGAGGGATCGTCCGCCTTGGTCGGATCATATTCTTGAGGACAAGTTGCCATTTGCATTGCTCTCAACCGTGGAGTTCAGATATTTGGTTCTTCAAAAAGATCGTCCCCCGTGGCTTGACTTGAAGCATTGGGAGTATCAGATTGATTGCAGCCTATACTATCTATTCACTCGACATGGTCGAATTTTCTCCCACCCCGGGAGAGTTGATGAGGATATCGAATGACGTTTACTTATTTTATTTAAGCTTTATTTATTTTCTTGGACTATTATTTAAATTTGGACTTGTATGGGCTCAGACCCAAGCTCGTTAGAGTTGCTTTACTATTTAAACCTATTTTGCATTGTAATTGGAGACGATAATGAATTAGAATTGAAATATTGTTTGGCTTGCAGCCGTTTTCTCCCTCCCCTCTTTTCCCCTCGTTTCTTTTCCTCTTCTCCCTTCTCTTTGTTTCTCCTCCCCGTTCCTTCTTCTTTCTTTCTTATTCATCCTACATCACTCCCCCTAGTAAATGGGCTTAATATTAATAACCAACAGAATCATCAAACTCTGGATAGAAGCTTGTTTGGTTGTTCGTTTCATAATGCTAAGTAATTTGCTATTTGGTTGACAGTCCAAAGGAGATCTTATAGGAACTGAAGAATTCTACTCACATGCAATACTGGCGGATCCTAATGATGATGAAATAATTTCGCAGTATGCTAACTTGGTGTGGCAGCTTCACCATGACAAAGATCGTGCTGTCTCCTACTTTGAGCGAGCGGTCTGAGCAACTCCAGACGATAGGTAAAGATGAATATGGTTCTTTTTATGAGATCGAGGGATGATTAAAATGAGAATTTTCAGTGCTACTGTACTCTTAGAAGGCCATTACTTATTGAGAAATTTTACCATCCATGCTCTGGAATTATGGCAAACTCTCCACACCTTTCATTATTAACTGACCAGTTTCTGTTCTATTTTTCTTTCACTCTCAGCAATGTTCTTGCATCATATGCTAAATTTCTTTGGAAAATGGAGAACAACGATGTAGAAGATATTGCATAGGAAGCTCATAGTCACTTCCACTCAAAGGAGCGAAATTGCTGCGAATAATGATGTACTTTTGAAATGACTTCTGTTTGCATTTCCTGAGGCTTTAATGAAATTGTTGCTGAACAAGAAATTTGAATAAATAAATGTGTTTTCTCTACCACTTTTAAGTTTTTTTATGAGGTGGTTAAAATATAGGATCATGCTACATGTACAAACTCTTTTTACGAACTCTCTTACTCACTACTCACAATAGAGGTGGAGACCACAAGCCGACATTTTCAAAATTCACGTGGGGTCCACTAATTTTGTGAGAGTGAGTACACCATTTTGTCAACAAGATTTTGTACGAATATCTTTATCCTAAAATATATTAGTTACTGAAGTTTGGAGCTCAAGTATTTTGTACTTTTTCATTCTCCTTATGTTTAAAATAAGCTAGCACTCTTACATTTTTATACCCTCCTTTGTTATTGTTGTTGGATTTTGTCTAATGGAACATAGTGAACTTCACTTGGGACATAATCATTTTTCTTTAGACACAACAAGATATGATGCTGCAAATCTTAGCCCAATTATCATTTCTAGAAATTCTAAACAATCTAAACCTGCTGGACAAGATGCAGGATATATAAGCTATCCAATAGAGGATCGAAAATTTTTTGAAGGAAGTAAAAGGAATTCTTGATTTGTGCTTGATATACACCATTTTCTCATAAGTTGCTCTATGCAAAGAGATTATTCACCTAGTAACATTCTAATTTCTGACTATTCTCGGAGTAGTGTTTCTTGAAAATTCTATTCGGACAATGGGTGTTACCACTTTCGCTGATGAGCAAACTTGTCCAGTCGCCCCATCGAGGATCTTCAAAGCTTCTATTGTTGACTCTCACAACTTGATCCCGAAGCTCATCCCACAAGCTATTAAAAGCATTGAATTCGTCCAAGGCAACAGAGGAACAGGAAGTATCAACCATATCTACTTTGCTGAAGGCAATATTTTTGGAAACTTTTAGTACTCCGAGCTTATGTGGGACTCTGATAATAAATCATCCATTTTTCATGCAGGTAATGGTTTTGGTTTGGTTAGGTATCAAATTGACGAGCTTAAAGACACTGACGGACATGTACACATAGGTTGAAGGAGATGCTTCGATAAGAAGAATATAAAAACATAACTTGAGGTAAAATTTGAGGCATCACCCAATGGGGGCTCTACTACCTCTAAGGTTACAAGCAAGTATTTCACTAAAGGTGATTTTGTGCTTAAAGAAGAGGATATCAATGCAGGAAAAGAAAGGATTGGCATGTACAATGTTGTGGAAGCTCATCTTCTCCAGAACCCAGATGCTTGTGCTTGATTCGAACTTCGATTAAGCTATCTTTTCTTTTTTATGTGTATGTCAGTTAGTCGTCTTTCTATGAGAATAAACAGTTTTGTTATACGAATAAGCTCAATGACAGGGATTTAAATAGATGCAAACTTGTCACATTTTCATTGGCAATTCAAAAATAAAAAAAGGACAGAAATTGCCAACCAGATGGACTGCCATTTCAGCCCCTGGAGATACAGCCCGTCACTGATGCTGTTCAAACGGCATTACTCGAGACTAAAAAATGATGGACGTTGCTGGACGGACAGGGCCACTGTCCGTCCAGGGGGCTGAATTAGGAGGGGGCGTCGAGCCCACTTGGCGCCCTCCAATAGGGGGTGCCAATTAGCCCCCCCTGTTTGGACAGGGCCTACGTGGCCCTATCCAAACAGAGTTATCAAAAAATGATACATGATTGTGACTTTTTCAATTGTAGTCATACATGTCTTTTGAATAAATTGTATTTCTCTACATTTTAAGGATCCATGATCAGAGTATTTACATTGAACTACAATAAATTGTATGGTTGTGCAGTGTTCTTAAGCAGACACCACAATATTCTCTGAAAATTTATACAAATCAACTAGTTAGGAAAAGCCAGCTCTCCACACTAGAAAGAATACTAAAGACATTATACATTTGAGTTCGACTTGATTTGTTTGGGCCGGTGTGATCTCCAACAAAATTTCCCATGGAAATAGAGGATGAGATAGAAGATCCTGCACACGAATGGAGAACTGCATCAATGCTTAGTAGCTTGTTAGTTTTTCTTAGCTTCCGTGACGATACGAAATATATGGTTTTTCTAGATTGGTCATACATTATGCAGTTAAGCTACTCACGAGCATGTTTGAGAAGTGTTTAAGAATAGTTTAAATTATATATAAACAGAAATGACTAATAAATAAGGGAGTGATATTTGTGTGTTTTACGAAATTAATGATAAAAAAGATTCGAGCAAAGCGTATTGGCAATGGTTTAAATCATAAATAAATAAAAATGAGTTATTGATGAGTGGGTAATTCTTGTGGTACCTTAAAATATGCAAATAAAATTTCTTTGAGTGTTTAAAAACATTATAAGATTTTTTCAAAATCATTTTCAATCACATTTTATAGGATCCGCAACTTTTTCTCACTTTTTAGCATTTAATAAATAAATCAGTTTTTCATATAAAAATTTGTGCTAAGCAAGCTCTTATACTGTATTGGGTCGTATTGAATAATACCATTGACAATATGTTTTCATTTTCTTATTATACCATATTAATAAATCAAATAACAAACTGTCACGTGTGACACGTAGGGCGACTACCGATAGTTTTCACTATGAATATCATTACTTATATGCCAATCATAATATATGTTACAAGTTACTGATGCTAATTATATATTTTGAAGACTATCAGAAGTCAAATTATTTGAGTTGAAACACAAGCTTAGTTGCAACTCCTGACTTGGGTACCTATGTCCTGTCATGATGTGCATACGTTGTTGCCTTTGTGTGCCTACGTCCCCATCATGCCATGCTCACACAATGTTGCCTTCATGTGTGGCATGCAAACAATGCTGCCTTCATGTTTCACGATGTGCCCTGCAGGGCTGCCTTAATTTGTCATGACGTGCCTAAATAAATCTTTAGATATATTTTGTGATGAATGGTTGTCGGGAACCATAAAATGATATATTTTGTGATGAATGGTTGTCGGCATAAAATGATATATTTTGTGATGAATGGTTGTCGGGAACCATAAAATGATCATTTGGGACAAAATTAACATATTTCATGCGTTTGAGGTTGTTTCCACATCATTCAATGTTTTTCCGCCCTCATTCCCATTTTATCATTTTTCTATGTCCCAAAAAGTTAATATTTAAATTTTTCCTGGGAAAATCAAGTGCACGGCAAATATTTCTTATATTAACATCTTTTGAGATTTTTCCGGATTTTTTTCTCCCATTTTTTCACGTTTCTTGAATAAAATTAAGAGTTGTGCTACACTTACAAACATGGTTTACAAAGTAAGTTGACAAAATAACATCCACACCAATCATTTCAAAAACAAGTTTTTAAATCATTTGAAATCAATGGCCTGAAATTTACCAACACATCTTCTGTCAACCAACTTTGTAAGGGAACTGTGTACAAGTAGAATTATTGTAAAATTAATTTCCTGCCATATTTAGTTTTCCAGTCTCCAGGCAGTTTAACCATATTTTCATTTCTAACCAGACGTTCTTATGAAAAGGGGGGCACAATTGGCACTGATGAGCGGCAATGCCCACAAAATGCACGAAAGAAGTCTGTTAAAAGGGATTATTCTTACAAATCCTATATTTTTGTGGCTTATTATAGGTTGCATGTCTGAATCATTGTTGATCCTAGAATTTTTCGAGCCAACAACATAATACTAACATCAGAAACTCAACTTCTGTAACATTATGCCCTTCTTTGTCTGTTGTCATCGGATTTTGTCATAAAGAAGCATGGTGAAGCAAGGACAAAAAGCAGAATATATAGGCTGTCTACTTGATTTTTGCTATGTATGCACCAATGTATCCCCAAGTGGTTCTATGCAAAGAGAGTATTCATATTGAAATTTCCAACTATTCTCCAAGTAGTCTTTATACAGAACTCCATAGGGATAATGGGTGCTACCACTTCACAGATGAGCATGCCTCTTCTATACCCCCATCGAGGATTTTCAAAGCTTCCATCGTGGACTCTCATAACTTGATCCCAGAGCTCGTCACACAAGCTACTGAGAGCATTGAATTCGTCCAAGGGAATGAAGGAGCAGGAAGTATCAAGCAAATCAACTTTGCCAAAGGTGGTGGCTTTGGTTTGGTGAAGTATCATATTGATTAACTTAATGAAGAGACATTAACATACAAATTTTTGTTGGTTGAAGGCAATGCCTTGATAAAAGGGCTCGAGAAAATAACTTACGAGGTCAAGTTTGAGCCATTACCCAGGGGGGGGCTCCATTTCTAAGGTTAGTAGCAACTATTACACCAAAGATGATTTCAAGCTCAAAGAAGAGGATATCAAGGCAGGCAAAGAAAGAGTTGCATGTACAAGGTTGTGGAAGACTACCTCCTCCAGAACCCTCATGCTTATGCTAGATTTGAAGCTTGTGTGCAGGATTTGCAGCAGATGAAGCTGTCTTTCCCTTTTGCGCATTTTTTTACGAAGTCATCTCTGTTTTGACAATAAGCCATGCCCAATGGTAATTTCTTCAGCTGTAATCATATATTCCCTGGAATAAAATGCAATTCTCCTGAATATTTCTATTGCGAACATTTGAACAAAGCCGTAGTAAAAGTTAACCACTATGATCGCTTTCTTAACAAGGCTGTGGCTCTAAAGAGGTCCAGCTCTGGCACAAATTTGCATGAAATTAGTGTATTAATGTAACAAAATTTAATCATAGATAACCCAAACAAAACTATTACAATGACTCTTCCCTGCACATCTGATTGATTTACTTCCATAATATTGGATACAGAAAAATTACGAATATGAATGTAACCTTTGGAAATTACTTGTTGGAAAACTGTCTCCGAGCATTTTGCCTGTTTCTTTATTCTTGTTGGTAGCCAGAGAAAAATCTATCTTGTCGAGGAGCCTTCCTGTGGAAACCATTTCCTCTTGGTCTGTTGAAATCGCGGTCATTTCCATCTTGATTCATTCCCTTGTCGATACCCCGACCACCAAAGCGTCCCGTTATTCCTTCCATCTGGTAGCTAAACCTGCCTCTACCCCTTCCTCCTGTTCACAACAATCCATAAAAAAGAATTATAAACTGTCTGTAGATGGTCATCACAAGCAGATGAATCCCAATCTTTTACAATCAAGGTTAAGTCTAGACTAAATTCTTAGCACAATATTTCAATAGCTGAACTTAATCACCAGGCTTTTCCCCTATTCCTGTCGCACCATCTTTCAATATAGTGGTCTTGCCACTATAGACTTCCATAGTACACGGTAACATTAAAAGCTTATTTAAATTAGCGTTTTGACATTTGTTTCTTTGCAGAGATCATCCAACATTCGTACAAATCTTAATTGGCACAAAAAGAAGGGTAGCTACTACCCTATGACTTGGAATAAAAAGTAATGCACTGAAAATTCAGAGAGAGAATTTCAAATCCAGAATAAATAAATAAAAGAATACGTACTTCCTCCCCGAGTTAAGTTGATTCTATTTGGTCTCCGTCCTTCAATGTGGAGTTGGTGCCCACCAATCTCAACCATAGATGCCTAGAAGGAAACAAATGAAACATTATGGGCTACTTTACGTGCAAATTCATAGCCAAGATATTTTATCTTGCTAGGAATTAAGTAAAGAACACAACCCATGAGTCAGATAGAATATAGAAGTTTGAAGTTTGAAATTTGTATAAACATATGCAACTTACAAAAACATTTGAAAATAAGGATTTATAAATTCTCACAAGGGTATCACACCTTAACTGCATTCTGCACCCCATATATATCTTCAAACTCAACAAATGCATAACACACATCAATATCCTGCATGACTTTTAAAGTGTAAGATTACACCTCAAACTAAGCAAAACCGCTACTATATAAAAAGGGGCAAGCCAAAAAGAACAAACCTTCCGGGTTCTTATGGCGACACCATCAGGCTTGAGTTTACCAAATTTCTTGAATTCCTCCGCAATTTCAGAAGCAGCCATTGTGGTTGGCACATTTCTCACATACACCGACTTTACTTCAACTATACATGATAAAAGTCGGAGGAATATAGAATTGCATCAGTAACTAATATTTCATCCTTAAAACAAACTTCTCTGACTATAATACACATATTGGTTAGATATCCATGATACGATTGACATGTCTATTGATATTTCTGATCTCCAAGGGTATGAATATGGAATGGGGCAATGATATTTTGGTATTCATTTTCAATGTACATCCATATATTCATGATATCTGTTGAACATCACCATTTTTTCCGTAAAAATTGTCAAAAATCCACATTTTTGTGGATATCTCCTCTTCTTGAAAAATATTCAATCATCGAGGATTCTTATCATACAGCATTTTAACGGAGAATCTTCAAGGTTCAAAAAGACATCCTCTGCACTTGAAAGTGCAACATCATGAAAAAATTTAAAGTGTAAATTCCTATTGTATCCACAGGGCATGGGATCCTTGTCATGTCAAGATATGGTCAGTTTGTTCCCTCAGGCCTTCTTAAACAATTGAAAAGTCAAGGACATCCCATGATCATATAGACAACAACTTGAAAAATTATCAAAATCAAAATCTGTGGCTAGAGTATTATAGTTTACTAGAATGGTTTAATCTTGTATGATTTTTGATGCTCTAGACGAGGTTCAACTGGTGATTTTAGACTTAACTCTGAACAATAACTCAGGCTGCATCTGTAAATGGATATTTGCCTATTAGCTTTTAGCTGGATTCAAGAGCTATATCTTACATAATCTGGTCGCTATAAATACGTAGAGGCATTCATGTATATTAACATGATAACCACATGTCATTTGAGTGCTCAAACAAGTTTCACAAAAAATCACCTACACCTGTCAGCAATTTCAACAATTTTGTGCTCATCCCATAAATTTGAATCGATATCAACATAATAGTCGATATTGCCAAATTTGCAAAGCTTTATTTGACAATCGATATAGAGATTCCATAGACAAGGCTAGGATAACAAAAAGAAATATAGAAAATTTTTACCTTCATCTTCCATGGCTGATGCTTCGTCAACTGAGTCCATCCGAGACCTCTCAACTGGGTTTGATGATGCAGCTGACGGCTGGGTGGAGGGTTCAGGTACATGCTGCCACTCCGAAGGAGTAGTAGGCTTGTTAAAAGAAGACTGAGATGGCACAGCTGGAGCAGATTGCCCTTTAGCAACCTGTAACTTCCAATCATAATTTACCCATAATTAATTTGAAAACATATGGGCAAATATTGTCATGACAATGGAAGGTTTAAATGTAATCACATACAATAGATGCGTAAGTATGCTTTTGGGGTTCCACAACAGGTTCTTCGATAGGGGAAGCCAAACGTTCAGGTACAGAATTCATAGTAACCTGAAGTGCACCATTCGGCTGCATAGCAAAATTATCTTCAAGGATCTCTTCAGTTTCAGGGACTTGATTAAGCTGGTCGTCTGGATAGGTATAGCTACTAACGGGACCATTCTCTTCAACCTTAGCTGGAGCCATGAACTCCCTAGGTCGGATATCTCCACCCAGTATGTAACTGGGTACTGCAAAAACAAATGTTGAAATCCAAAAATTAGACACAGTACATTTTGCATACCTACTTGTGAAACAAGTCATGAGAAAAGATACAGTGAACTAGACACAGATAGTAGCATTATCAAGTAGTTCTTTTAGAGAGTTTCTTCCTTCGATGAATAAAAAATTGATATCAATTGTCGTACTCCAGATCTTGATGTCATGTTACAATTGAAGGACCTTAACAAATCGTCGTAGTTTTAAATTGTACTACTTCCATCCTTAAAAACTGTTGTTCAACTTTCTTATATATTACAGTATTTGGCGTAGTTTCTGAAAGCAAAAGAAATCAATACTATATTGTTTTCATGAATTATTGCCCTACCAATTTTATTATTCTGAAAACTAGGAACGCATCTCTCCATTTTATTAAAACCACTAGGCAATTTAAATAAATTATTCCTAACTTCAATACCAAATACAAGAATCACCAAGTACTGTGCGAAATAAATTCTTTCTAAATTCTGCTGACAAAATACCTTGGTCTCGAACTGCAGTTGAAGGATTGAGTTTGAGATCAAGATTGCTCTGAGGTAGATAGCCCAGCGGATGCTGCCGAATCTGTTCTTCCTCAACATAGTGAAAGATATCATTGAGAACAAAGTACCCTTTCTCCTGAGGCGCAAGAAAGAATGTTTGCACAAACTTCCTCCTCCCATTGAAATCCTTAACGAGCACAGAACCTGAAACCATCACTAGAACACCACCATTCCAAGATTCTAACGAATGTGCAGTCTTAATTTCTATACCCGTATAGTTGAGTGACATAACAAGTTGATGGATTTGCTGCAAAAAAGAATTCAAAACATGCATCTTATCAAAATATAAAAACTGAGAAAACAAAATTAAAAGGAAATGATAAACAAACAGAACAAAAGAAAAGGTATAGGTGCGGTGATCCAGGATTAAGCATTTAATGAGAAGTAATTGAAAAAGTAGATGTCAAATACTGCTTTCAATATTCCAATTTTGACAAAGGAAACTACAAACTTTTGTGTGTGTCTATATATATATATATATATATATATATATATAAGGGTAAGGTATGATTGCAGCCAGTTTATCAAATAACCAAAGATAACGAGGTTCACAGCTTCCAACATCAAACCACTGGCGTCAATGTTAATATTTTCATTCTAGTTTGGTCAGTTTTAGTTGTTGAAAACCAAAACTGAACACATAAGTGGTTGGAGGAGAAAGATAAATGTCATGCTCATACACATAATAAATGAACTTTTGTTCCCATTATTCGGATGACTGGATAAATACCATCAATTTACTCCAAAACTACGTCTGGTACAACACACGTCATAATCAGTAACAAGATTAAAATTTATCATTATCTATGCAAAAGTTGGAGGCTTAATAGCCTGTTGAAGTCAAGTAGGCATTCCTTTTTTTTTTTTTTTATTGCAATGATAGTAGGCTAGTAGATATCTCAAACTTCAAGTTTTTATATAAATCCAATGGTTCTAAGCCCTTGTTTAATCCCCATTATTTCCAAAATATACTTTTGTCTTTCTTCTTTTCAACCACACATTCTACAATAAAATATTATTACACGCAAATCCAAAATTTTTCCTTATTTTTTAACCAAGCATTCTCCATCAATCTACTATTTCAAAATACATTATTCAATAAAAATGGGGTTCAAACATGCTCTAAATCTGAACTTCAATTCACAATGAACCCAACCCAACATAAACAAGTAATATATATAAAATACCAGCATAGAAGTTGCTGTCTCTCTGGTGTTGCTATCAATCCGAAGCATGGAGCTGGCATCACTGTAAAATTGGTGCACAAAATCTGGCTGGTTCTGTAGTAGCTGGTAGTACTGACCAACAAAGTATGTCCCCACCTAAACAAAAAAGAGAAACTAAGAACAAACAATGCCCAGTTGCACTCACTAATAAATGCTTACACACACAGGAAGTCCATAAATAATTCTGTGTCAATTTTGTTATTGAAGCAAGAGATGAAAAAATGTAAACGCAGAAAATGCATAAAACCAGAGGAAGTAATACATATAAATGTACACATTCTGGTTATATAAGAGATTTATCACATGTTTATATAAACAAAAGGCAAACATCCACATGTAAATGGATATGTATTCACAGTGACAAAAATTTAGTCATATAAACAAATCATCATATGAAAATGAAATCAATTGAAGCCATTAGCTTGTGTACCACAGGCCTCACAAGTTGTATGTTTCTTTAGAAATAGTATGATCTCAGGCAGTACAATCATTCAAATGTAAATAACAACAGGTGCACATCAAATGTCAATAACAACAGGTGCAGGCGCGCGCGCGCGCACACACACACACACACACACAATGAATGTTAACAGAGGCCTACTTTGGGTGTATATTCCTCAAGATATATGTAGATGCAATGGAGTCTAACTTTGAAGGTAGAAATGAAAAATGGCCTCATTCCGAATTACTTTAGCAGGTCTTTTTTTAAGAATGAAAGAAATGTAAACCCTACCTAGAAAGGCCTTTTTCCGTAAAAGATCTGCTTAGCTTTGAGTTTTCCATTCCAGTTCATGATTACTCCCTTATACAAGTCTTTCAACAAAACTCCCAATAGCGTGCCTCCAAAATATCAATCATGAGAAAAAGGAAAAATCCCACTGTGGAGAATACTCGGGTAGATTTCCAAGTTAACAAGACATAGTCGAGTTATCCTTGCACCCAACAAAAGAAATTATCGGCTCAACTTGACCCTCACGAGTTAACTCAACAACGACGTGCACAACAAAAAGTTGACAGTCAATGGACAAATAGGGTCAACTAGTCTCTATTATTTCAACTAGTCAAGTAGAAGTGAACTACATAAGCAATTCTACGCATTCACTCCTCTCCCAAAATCACTAATCATGGTGAACTGTTTTCCTTCATTTTTTCACTTTTCATCTTCAAATTTTTCTTAGAAGGCTAAGACTGCTCCACCTGCATTGTTGAAGAGTTTGAGTAGTGGTTGAAAACGAGAATTCTTATATGTTTGAACTAGATTGGCATTTTATTTGTCAGAATAGCTTGATTGACTAAGGAAGAGTTTGTTTAGGAGAGTTTCAAAGAACGCATTTTTAATTTCCTCTCTCTATCTACTTTAATCCCCAGATTAATTCCTCCTACGACACTTGTAAGGCATATTTATTTAATATATCTATCTACATACATTCGCATACAAATGGTCCTGGCTTGGGCAGATATACAACATCTTTATCTACATACATTTTTGCAATGCAGTTTGGACTACACGCTTCTTATGTGAATGGTGCAATAATGAATAAATTGACAGATATGCCCAGGTGGTGGCATTAACCTTATTCCAAATACACACATATTCATTAACATGTACATAAAAGCAAATGTATATATACACGTGCAAGCGCACATAATATACATCAACATAAAAATATAACCTTTAATTAAAGCCATCCACATATCAGCTCATAATCTGCACAAATTGAACACCGATACAATTTCACATACACATACAAATCCATGTACATATATAAGACATGAGAATCAAGTCGAGAGAGAGAGAGAGAGAGAGAGAGAGAGAGAGAGAGAGAGTTTACCTGGGCAGCAGTGACAGGCAGAGCGAAAGCGGTAGCCATTGAAGGGAGCTAAAAACCAACCCCACCCCAAAGGGAAAACCTCCAAATCTAACAAACAAATCCCAGATCTGGGAATGTAAAATCCAAGATCTATGGTCAAAAATAAAAGAAATTAATCCAAACCCAGATTCAGCTTCACCATTTTCACATTAGTCCTCATCAATTCAATAGAAATCCACACTATTTCCAGTACTACTTGTAAAATCAATATCTGAGAGAGAAAGTGATATCGAAATGCGATGCCACTGTGTGTACTGTCACTGCCGTATCTCATTTATGAGTTTTGTGTGCAGATTCGTCTCGACATAGAGACCACGAGTTGTGAGGTGTATATAGGTAGGTGATGACCTTTTTTGGCTTTAAGCATAACGATACGTGATGTGAAGTGTATATAACCAATTTGGTGCATTGAGGATTTTCTAATAAACTTGATAAAATAGAAAAAATAAAAGTGCTAAAATAAAACTTTTATTAAGTTCCCATTTGATCCACATTTTTAAAATAAATAAATAAATTTTTAAATAGTATTTTGATATCATTTTAACCACACATTATACAATAAAATAATATTACATGCAAATTCAAAATTCTTTTTTATTTTTTTACCACACGTCTCTCATTAGTATACTATTCAAAAATTCATTCTTATTAAAAGAATGGAGCTCAAACAAGGGTTTAGCCATGTTTCACCCCCCTTCTACAAAACTCGTTTTTTCTCAATAAAATAATTTTACACGTAAATCATAATTTTTTTCTTATTTTTAATCATTCAATCTACAAAAAAAAAAAAAAAGAAAAAAAATAATCTATTTTTATAAAATATATTCTCAAAAGTTTTCTAACAAGAAAGGGTTTAATTATAATGACTTGTCAATTAATCTTGTATTGGACTCACTCTTACAATGTGCAACTACTGAATTTGAATTATCGTTGAACTACTTTGATAAGTATACACAGTCATTAACAAGTAATTATAGCATTTTTCTTTCCTAATCAAAAGCTCGAAATCCTTAATAGTGTGTGTATATGTATATATTGCATCCCTCTGGTGCAGTGCCACGACCACCTTGTCATGAAAACTTTGACAAGCGGCTCCTAGAGCACTTTAAAAATCACTAGGGGCGATTCCTTCTCCTATGCTTATGCCTATTTTTGTAGCACGTAATTCTCAACTATCTTATACTACTAAGAACACTTCAATCCTCGAGGTGGTAGATTCTCGAAAACTGCTCACCTCTTTATTGGAAACGATTGTTCAGAAACTAAAGCTAGATGGTGTTTGAGAGATATTTTTATGTAAAAATGCATTTTTGAATAGTAAATTGATGAGAAATGTGTGGTTGAAGAATAAGAAAAAGTTTTTGATTTACATGTAATATTATTTTAATAAAGAATGTGTGGTTTGAAAAAAAGAGAGAGAAAAAAAATGCATTTTGAAAAAAATGGATACCAAACGGGGCCTACTCTTTCTCTTTCATTACATCAAACATGTTTTCAATAAAATAATTTTGCAAATTAATCATAATATTTCTTACTTTTTAACCACTCATTCTCCAAAAAGAAAAAATAAATAAAATAAAGAAGAAGAAGAAAATCAATTTTCACAAAATATGTTCTCAAGAGCTTTCTACCAAGCAAGGGCTTAATTATAATGACTTACCTATTAGTCCCCATTTGGCCCCTATTTTTTGAAATTAAAATGGGTGGAACATTTTTTTTTTTTTTTTAATGAGTAGTTGAAAAAGAAGAAAAAAATTCAATTTACGTATAATATTATTTTATGAAATATTGTGTGGTTGAAAATAAGAGAGAGAGAAATGAAATCGAATTTAATGGGGGCCAAACGGGGGCTTAATCTTCGTATTATCTTGCATTGGCCTCACTCTTACAATTCCCAACCACTGAATTTGAATTATCATTGCACTACTTTGGTAGATATAGATTCGTTAATAAGTAATTACAACATATTTTCTTTCGGAAGCTCGAAATCACTGACAGTTTATTTTCATTTTTATTTTTTTTAATAAGTAAATTCACAATCATTAATAGTATATTTTCTTTTTCAGATTGGGGATGATAAAAAATCACCATATACCTATACATATCACGCTAACATATTGCTAAGATGATTAACTATAAATGTCGCAGACTTGGCACAACCATTTTCTATTATAATATTTCTGTTAAATTATCTCATTTAAATATATGAAAAATGCATCCATATTTCGATTGAGATGGAGTTTTGTATTGTTAATAAATAGAATAAAAAATAATTCGAAACATTTGATTTTAAAAAAATAATTCGTATAATTTTAATATTTAGCCCCTATCTGTTTCCCATTTTGGCTACATATTTTAGGGGGTGTTTGAGCCACGTTATTTTGGTAATAATGCATTCTTGAATAGTGTATTGATAGGAAATATGTAGTTAAAAAATAAGGAAAAGTTTTTTATTTGCGTATAATATTATTTTATTGAAAAATGTGTGGTTGAAATGATGTCAAATCACTATTTAAAAATATATTTTTTAGGAATAATGTGGCTCAAACAGGCCCTTAATAATTTTTTTGACTGTTGCCAATCACATAGCTCCTTTTTTTTTTTTTTTTTCAACTCCCTCTCTCACACTGGGACCAGCTTGCAGAAATACGACGACCATAAATGTGTTCTCAAATTGAAAAAATGAGAAACAAACAAACGCTTAATAAACTTTAAAAACTTAGTTCCATCTTTACAATTAACATTATCTTCTATCAAATGTCACCAAACTTTCATTTATGAAAGTAATTACAAGAAATCAAATTATATATAATTAATAATTTTTATGGCCTCCTAACCACCACAAATGATTGATCATTCTCATTCTCTTTTTGTTCGTGTCTTTTTTTTTTTTTTAAATAACTTTTTGTCTGTTTGTTTGGTTTGATAAAGGGGAATCAATTGTTTTCTAGTAATCATAATAAAGAAGGAAATAGGATATTTTGTGTAAATGCATCTGTATTTGTTTGATATAATCACTTTCATAGATTTGTTTATTGAATAGTGTTTCCTACCTTTGGGTCATAAGAAAGGGAAATATATGGAAATAACATTTTCAAAAGGGTTATTTTTCCAAAATGATCCTTCGACAATTTACATACCAAAAATGTTCTCCATTTGGATATTACATAACGAGGTATTCTAATATAGAAATTTTCTATTTTAGTCCTTAAAATTAAATATAGGATGAAAATTGATAATTTTTATTTGATTTATTTGATTAATATTTTTATTTGATTTATTTGATTTTTGTTCGCTCTAAGTAGCCCCCTAATTGGTATTAGAGCCATAGAGATCATGGAAATAAAAATAAGAAAAATAGATAATTATTGGTGTTTAGAAGAAGAAAAAGGTAGTTATATATTTTTAAAACATATTCATAATAAATTAAAAATAATGACTTTGACAATAATTAAAGAACTTCCGAAAGAAATAAAGGAGCAAATGCTAGAGAAATTAATAATAGAAAAAATAAAAGATATATATACATATGAAAAAATTATTAATATATATGAAGATGAAGAAAATAATTTATATTATGAAGAAAAATATGAGTACAATTGATAATTTACATCAAAAATTGAATAAATTACTTTTAAAAATGGATAAAATACAAGAAGAAATAAGAAATATAATGTTAGTACAAGAAGGAATGAGAATATCAAATAATAGACAATTAACAAAATTAAAATGTGAAAGACTAAGACTTGAGAGCAAATATTTCACTATAGTAAAAGAAGAATTAGTAGATCCAAAAACAGTTGAGAGAAGATTTAAAAAAATAATAGATAAAAAAGAAGATAAAAGATGCAAATTAATTTATGAGTTAGAAATAAGAAAAAATTAAGATGTCAATAAGTGAATATATGGAAGAATTAAAATCATTAATAAAAATGTTAATAAATGATGTACAAGATTTGAGAAACGAAGTAAAAGAAACAAGAAACGATATAAATATATTAAAAATAGAAATTAGAGAATTAAAAAATAATAATAAGAATAAAAGATAAGAAAATAGATTAAAAAAAAACAACTTATAGAAAAAGAGATGACTCGAATAGAAAAGAAACATATAAAAAAAAGAAAATATAGTAATAGAAACAGGAAGTATGGATGATGAATTTAGAAAGAATATATTACCAAAAATACTAGAAGAGGAAGAAAAATCTAGAAAAAAACCATTAGAAAAATTAAAAGTAGAAGAAAAAAAAGATGAGTGACGAATTAGATTTGCTAATAAAAAATTTTGATCAATTAAACTTAACTGATATAAGCGAACACTAAGTTTTAATGAATACTGGAGGAGGACCTAATCCAGCAGGAACCTCTAAACAAGAATTACATCACACAGATGAAAGTTATGCACCTATATCTAATAAACCATATAGACAATTTTATGATAAAGTAAGAGATAGACAACCACTTAAAGGAAATAAATATAAGGATATGTTTGAATTAAATGATAATTATGATAAACCAATTAATCATGGAGGAACAAAACTAGATTTAAATTACAAAATAGATACTAAAAAAGCCTTATTAACTTGGGCAGATTCAATGATATTATTCTTTTTATATAACAAAGATGACACATGGTAAAATACTCAAAGAAGAATAGATTTCTTAATAACATCTATTGAAGGAGATATTAGAAATTGGTGGGAAGGAATAAGCAATGATACAAAAACATTAATAAAAAGAAATGTA